TTTCCTTAAATTGGGCTCACCGGCCAATCTAATTATCACAGGTGTCTGAGATTGGTTTCAGTGATCAAAAGAGCCCTGACACACAATGCCATCCATGAGTTAAACTGAAAAACAAAATATTTAATCTTTGTGACACTTAAATAGAATTTGCATAATAATTTGGAACGTGGTGTAAGCAGCCCAAGCAGTTTTCTGCCTTCCAGATATATCTTGGGACATTGATGTCTTCATGCCTTTTTCTCCTAATCTGTGAACCCAATCCATGAGGATGGACAGATTGCGGAGGGAGGCCTGATATCAAGTTCCTAAAATGCATCAGGAAGGCCTAGGCAACTTTTTACTGCGAAATGAAGGTAAACCAATTATTATTTTATATTAATCTTCACAAGATTGTTTTTCACAATGTGTTGTAAAGATATTCATGGATCTGTACATGCTTACTTTTAGATCTGCTTTAATAGAGTTTAATATATTACATAGACATTGGGGGTTTATTTCCCTATGTGGAAAATTTCAGCTTGAATTATATGAATAGCCAGTGATCAGTACCGACTGATCTAATGGTACCCATAAACATAATGCCAGTTAAAATTGTGAAATGGTATTTTAAAGACCACTGCCTTCACCCCATGTTAAAACTGACAATCTGGCCATGTTTCCAGTGCATACACATCTATGCTTGGGCAATATAAGTGCACACGATTATCAAAACATAACAAAGATAAACCTCTAATGAATAAATTGTTGAGGCTGCCACAACTGACCTCCCTCCAAAAATGTTAGGTCGTCTCAGCTTTTGGTTGTCTCTTCCTTGAGACATTGACCTGGAATAGATATTCAAATCAGTAAAGTAAGAGTTAACACCAGGTAAAAGAAATATCATCCCGTAAACTGTGGGGGCTCAGCTCCCACTGCAAGGGTTAAATGTTGTTTTATGCCTAGGGTACCAATAAAAAGGACTTTAAAGCGGAGTTCCAGCTGACTGTGGCTGCTGACTTTTAAAATACTGACACTTACCTGTTCCTTGGTCCAGCAGTGTCCTCATCATCGTTGGTTTCACCGGCCATCTTCTCTCCCTGGCACTGGCATCTTTAGTGTGGGCATCTGGTTGTGACAGCTTGCGGCTTCACAGCCGGGTGCCCACTGTGCATGCTCGAGAAGTGCTACGCTTTGTGAACAGCCCCGTAGTCTTCTGAGACGTGTCCCAGAAGACTACGGGGAGGGGGACAACTTCCGCTTCCGATCGCCTAGGCTATCGCAGCAGAAGTGGGAGTGGGTACCTGTCAAATTCGGGTACCCGCTACCCCTTAATGGGGAGTGGGGGACAGAGCATTAATGCGAAACTTCCCCTTGAGGTACCTAAGGTGAGTTATTCCAATGACCAAGGAAGAACTCAATGACATGCTGTATATGTCCTAATAAGGTTCACTCCATCTGGTGAGACTTCACTGCATGGGGGGTATAGCACGGTGGTTGAAGAGGAAGATTGGGCACATTACTGATTGATTTTAAAATTGCATTTGCACATTTATGTGAGCACAATAATCAATCATTCACCTTATTGATTTATTTATACAATATTACACTGATTGTCCTTTCTTGCCTTCTATACACTCATGGATATTCTGGTGATGAAGTGGGAAAGTGACACCTGGTGGTCATTTGAATAACTATACATGCCTAATATGACCCATTTATGTATGAGGGCCTAATTTTCAGGTGAGCATGCATATTTTGTCTGAGCACTTAATGGGAGATAATTTGAAGATTGCTTTTTTATTGACACAGAGATATTAGGTTGGTGGACAGGAATATTAAGCACTGGGAATATATTGTTTAGATAAACAGGAATGTTCATCTTGGCCAATCAAGGAAAAACAACAGAGGTTATGAATGTTTTCTAACTAGTCCATCTTTTTCTACCCATAAAACTAAAATTGTCAGCTAAAAACTGGAATGGGCATATCATCTCAAATCCTTGGATATTTAAACATAAATCATTATGTATAGAGATTAGACTGTAAATCAGATATATTGCATGGAGATTATCGTAAAATACACATCTGTTTAGTTACAGTGGCTTGGCTGCATGCAGTGGTGAAAGACATGCATATTTCCACCATTCAGAGACTGGCTCGATCAAATTATTTATAAAAGATTGAAATTAAAGCAGATGTCCACCCTTATTATTATTATACAGGATTTATATAGCGCCAACAGTTTGCTCAGTGCTTTACAATATAAAAGGAGACAATACAGCAACAATACAGTTCAATACAAGAGGGTTAGGAGGGCCCTGCTCCTTGGAGCTTACAATCTAAGAGGGAGGGGCTGGTGGTACAAAAGGTAATAACTGTGGGGGATGGACTGGTAGAAGGAATAGAAGATTCCGTTATTAGCTGAAGGCAGGATAGGCTTCCCTGAAGAGATAGCTTTTCAGAAATCGCCTAAAAGTGGGCAGAGTAGGTGATAGTCTGATAGACTGGGGTAGAGAGTTCCAGAGGATGAGAGAGGCACTGGAGAAGTCCTGGAGACAACAAGGGAGCTAGAGAGAAGGAAGTTGTGGGAGCAGCGGAGAGGACGGCTTGGGTGATATTTGGAGACAAGATTGGTGATGTAATTTGGGGCAGAGTTATAAATGGCTTTATATGTTCTCATCATCCCATTTTCTTATTGGGAACAATGTAAAACTTTATTGCAAGTGACAAAGCATATCCCTCTATAGTGTGTACTTGTCTCAATTATGAGCACTAAGTGTCATTTCTGTCTGCTGCCTCATTCCTCTGCTGTCAGCATGAATCACTTCTGACAAGTTTTCCTGACACCAAGAGAAAAATGGTGATGAGGGACCTCCAGCAGATTGACAGCCTCAGTTCTGTTCCTGTGTGAAAGGGGGGGGGGGTGTCCTTTCCCTCCAATCAGCTCTCAGAGCTCTCCTTACTGAGCTCTGCAGAGTGTGACTTCAGCTCTCTGCCCACTTTTTCCTGACCTCTCAGACAATCTTTACAGATTCAGCACTTTGAACAGATGTAGAGAAGAGAAGGCTGCAGATAAATAGGTTCAACTTATGTAGGAGGCTTTGTTTCAACTCCATGTATCACTTGACACCAGTCCCTTCACTAGGGATATGTAAGGATTTACATCCACTTTAAGATAATCACCAACCCTGCAGATCCAGTGGTGTCCTGCAGAGTCCTTTCAAAATACTGCCCCCACTCAGTCCCACACCTCCATCTTCTTTGATGATGTCATCTAGAGCTTCGCTGGCTTTTCTGGGTTCAGCTGCTGGACCTCACGATGATGCTCCGATAGGCCTGCCCCCCACCACCTTTTTCAATGAAGGACTATGCCTCCTGGGATATGTGACGTGTGTATATCTCAGGAGGCACAGGAGGCATAATGCACATCATTCCACTAGGCAAATGACGTGCATGGGGGAAGGGGGGGCAGGCCTGAAGATTTTATATATATATAAAAGGAAAGAAAAAAAAAAAGTTTGCTACGTGTGCAGCGGAAGGGTGGACGGGTGGTAAGGAGGGTGAAGATCCGCCTAATAGTGTACCTTTTTGATTTCCTCATTACCTTTTAAACTTTTTCTGTTAAATAGAGTATATCAGAGGGTTGTGTTCACTATTTGAGTACTTTTACACAATTATACAATTAAAACTGAAGGAAAAAACATTCATAAGATTATAGTATGGCAATCAGTATTGCATGAGAAGAATAAATAATTACATTGAGTACAATCTTTCCCTTTTCATTTGCAGTTCACTAGTTTGCTTTTTTTCTCCAAAATGTTGACTTTTTTTTTTTGCTCAGCCCTCAAAAACCACTACACCATTTTACTAATTCACCAGCCCCTAGATCACAGCCTCATAAATGCTTTGGGAAAACAGTGGATGATATTGGTCAGAAAGTCAAGAAACCACACAGTTCCAAACTAAATCCAGCTGACAGCTTCTCCAAATTCAAATTCCTCAACATTTACAAATTTAGTTGACAACTTCCCCAAATGTAGCATCCTTTCTGCAGTAAGCCTTCTCTTTAGATATAAGGGATGGATAATATATAAAAAGACCAAAGGGAATATTAGCATTCTATTAATATAAATAACAGAAAAACACATAAACACTGTAACACCATGTTTTAATGTGGATTTAACCTCACTTTAACCTTTTGTTCGGCCAGCTGTAAGAACCAGGCAGAAAAAGCAACAAAAGAGTCTCATTTATATAAACAGATTAGTAAAACAGACAAACACAAAGGAAAGAAATCCTATTTTAAACCTCATTGCAACTCAGCATAACATACAATAACTGTATTGGCAGCTCAGTGTAATCAGAGGAAACAATTGTTTTTACTTGTTCTTCAACAATTTACATACAGTGAGTTAAAACTTAGTAATGTTTGTTTTATAACTTTGATCTCCATGAAAGTTTAAATGTGAGAATGATAGTTATAAAACATAAAACTCTAGTTCTCTTTTAGGAGAGGGGCGGATGCAAAAAGTTAAAGTGTATGTTACAACATTTCATATTTCAAAATGTGTCTGTGTTACATATCGTGTTACCATCTTTTCATTGGTTTAATTCTGTGAAATACCTGGTGATCCTGCCAGTCTCCCTGCCTTCCAGTTCCAAATTGACCACAACAGGCCACGGAAGCACATCCTTCCCAACGTGGTCAGTTCGCTCCTTTGCATACTACTTGGAGCACAGTCTGTCTGTAATCCAGTGGTCAGATTTGAACACCCCCCTGCACAGCTCGTCACTGGGAAGATCATTGTATTGTGTACTGCTGTTTCTCTGTCTCCTGCTGACACGCCCCCCTGCAGAGTTCAAACTACTGCTGCTACACACACACCCCCCCCCCCTTTTCCCCACATCTCTAATTCTCTTTGCAGCTATATATACACTATATTGCCAAAAGTATTGGGACACCCCTCCAAATCATTGGATTCAGCTGTTCCAATCACCTACATGACTAGAGGTGTATAAAATCAGACTGCTTCTACAAACATTTGTGAAAGAATGGGTCGCTATCAAGAGCTCAGTGAATTCAAACGTGCCACCTTTGCAAGAAGTCTATCCGTGAAATTTTCTTGCTACTAAATAATCCACGGTCAACTGTTAGTGGTATTATAATAAAGTGAAAGCAACTGGGAACAACAGCAACTCAGCCAGGAAGTGGTTTGCCACGTAGAATGACATAGCGGGGTCAGTGCATGCTGAAGCGCAGAGTGCGCATAAGTTGCCAACTATCTGCAGAGTCAATAGCTAAATACCTCCAAACTTCATGTGGCCTTCAGATTAGCACAACAACAGTGCATAGAGAGTTTCATGGAATGGGTTTCCATGGTCGAGCAGCTGCATCCAAGCCTTACATCACTAAGTGCAATGCAAAACGTTGGATGCAGTGGTGGCCACTGGACTCTAGAGCAGTGAAGACATGTGCTCTGGAGTGATGAATCATGCTTCTCTGTCTGGCAATCCGATAGACGTTTCTGGGTTAGGCAGTTGCCAGGAGAATAGTACTTGCCTGACTGCATTGTGCCGAGTGTAAAGTTCGGTGTAGGGCCATTTTTTTAGGGGTTGGGCTTGCCCCTTAGTTCCAGTGAGGGGAACTCTTAAGGCAATTGTGAACAATTTCAAGTTCCCAACTTTGTGGGAACAGTTTGGAGATGGCCCCTTCCTGTTCTAACATGGCTGAGCACCAGTGCACAAAGCGAGGTCCATGAAAACATGGATGAGTGAGTTTGGAGTGTAGGAACTTGACTGACCTCAGCCTGATAGAACTCCTTCGGGATGAATTAAAGTGGAGACTGCGAGCCAGGCCTTCTCGTCCGACATCAGTGTCTGGCCTCATACATGCTTCTGGAAGAATGGTCAAACATTCCCATAGACACACTCCTAAACCTTGGGGACAGCCTTCTCAGAAGAGTTGAAGCTGTTATAGCTGCAAAGGGTGGGCCAACTCAATATTGAACCCTACGGACTAAGACTGGGATGCCATTTAAGTTCATGTGCATGTAAAGGCAGGCGTCCTAATACATTTGGCAATATAGTATGTTAATATATGTACATATTTATATATATATATATATATATATTATATATATATATATATATATATGAAACTCAAAAAATTCACCTGTATTTATATAGTCATGGCCAAAAATATTGGCAATCCTGCATTTCTGTCAGATAATGCACCACTTTGTCCAAAAAATTGCTCTCCTGCACCCACATGGACTCCTTGGGAGGGTGGTGCCCAGAAACCTGATCCTGACTCTAGAAGCGGCCCACACACACCTGACCAATCAGTCTCCTGGCCATTCTCAAAACCTGATCCGAGGACTGGAGATTTCATCCCTTCCAAATCACTTTGAAATCTCCAGACTCCATGTTCCAAAATGGACTGTACAAACAAATGAGGAAAGTGAAAAGTCAGTTTCCTCTGTATTAAATGAGTACCCTGGAGCCCCTCAACCAGCCTTGTTGAGAATCCCAGGTGAAATATCCTTTCTACACTGTGACTTGTCACCACACACACACATATATATTATTATTACTCTTATTATTATACAGTATTTATAAAGCACCAACAGTTCACTCAGCGCTGCACATTACAAAGGGGGACAGAACATGCGACAGTACAGTAACAATACAATGCGATACACGAGGGGTTCGAGGGCCCTGCTCTTTTGAGCTTACAATCTAGGAATATATATATATATATATATATATATATATATATATATATATATATATATTACACACATACACACAAAATGTTTTGCCTTGCGTTTCTATTTTAAAATAAATGGGTGGTTTTTCAAGGTAAGAATTGACATATACTTTAAAGACGTTCTATGGTCACAGCTTAGACATACATTTTATAACATAAGCATTGTAATAGAAATAGAAATAATATATTTGCTGCTCCAATATAGGCTTACTTCAAAAATCTCCTTTCATGTTCTGAGTGGTGTCTGTCTGCTGACCATTTGTTTCCACAACTTCCTGAATTCCCTGCATGTTTTGCAGCTTCTTCTTGGTGGTTTACTTTTTATTTGTAAGGACTACATATCCCATGGTACCTTGCTGCCTGCAAGCAGTGATTCTGTAGTTCAGAAGGCAGTAAATGTGTGGCTAGCTTAAAAAAAATAGGTTTACAAACTTCAAGACTGTGCATTTTATTAGGAGTAGGCTAGATATGAATTTACATTTTGATTATACGGGTTGTGACAATTTAAGTCCCGGAATGAACCAGTAATAACACCTCTGCATTCTTCAAAAGGTCATATGAAATTTGAAGACAACATTCTTTCTGATTTTCTGTCAAGATTCGAGACACCATCTTTGTGGAAATCTTTCTTATTCCCAAAGCCTCCACTAAGAATCTGCCAAACTGTTTCCCTGTTCATGTTCAATTCTTCTGCAATCTGAGCGTATGAGGGTTCGCACTCTGTCCACATTTGTATCCATTCTTTGGGTTTTTGCCTGTCCACTTCTTGCATCATTATGGACATCTTCTCATGCCTTTTTAAACCATCTATGCCATTCAAAAACACTTGATATCTTCATGAAATGTTCACCAAACCCATTTTAACAGAGCTAAAGTTTCTCTCTCACATTTGCCAATTTTCTCTCAAATGTTAATCCATTGTTCCAGATTTCTGTCACTCATTTTTCTCCAACAGTGCAACACACGCACACACGTGTTACTTCTTCTACTGCTTGGTCTGCAAGTCAACTGGTCTGTGACCTAGGCGAGTGCAAGTTAGAACATGTCAGATCACACACGAGTGCAAATGGCTGTGCGACTCACCACCATAGTGCTACTCTTGTGGGCATTCCGGGAACTAAGTTGTCACACCTTGTAGGTACACTGTATACAATTTCCTTTATTCTCCCAGGAGCCCTATTTGCTGAAGGTTGTGGCAGAGCACACTTGAACTTTATAAAGCATCAGCAGGTATCCATATTGATAAATTTCCTCTTCAGGATGCTCATCTCTTGTCATGACCTAGCTTATTTTTCGCCTATTCACACTTTCACACTTACTTATCCCTGGCTATGTGCTTGCTTTCCCTGGAAATAATCTGTGTCTATACATCTCTCTATGCTTTTTACTATGTTTCTGACTCACTTAATACTATACTCTGACCTCATGCTTTGTTACCATCTATTTAAGGCTGGTTTCAGCCAGTACTAGTTTACCAGTTAAGTTCTGATCTGACAGTGTCCTATATGGTCTCTGAATTACTGGTTCACCCACTAGCCATAGCTTGTTCCGGTTATGGTATTGCTATCTTGCCCAAACACTGTGATCCATTGCTTAAGTATCTGAGGCTTTTAAACACCCGTGCACATACAGTACATAAAAGAGTCTTAAAAGATAGTTCCTAAAGATGAAAAAAGGTGCAGAAGTGGTTATAGACCTCAGACAAACGATAATATCTTTCACTGATTTTCTTATTTGACCTAGTTAACCATGATCAGACTCTGTATGCAATCTCTGGAAGTTACCAGGACAGCAGTTGTCAAACTTGAGGTAACCTTTGATTCTTTCACTAAAGAATTTGGTTAAAATATGGGTAGTATAGGTAAACGTTCACAGTTTAAAAACTGTTTAAGCCTATTGATGCTTTAAATAGCTGATAAGAGAAGGGATAAATAAGATGGAGCAACAGTCATGGTAAGGGCTCAAGAGCTTATGGGCTCAGGAACAGTTCATTCTTCTGCCCCTCCTCCACGCCTCAGCCAATGTAACTTACAATTACCTCGATAACCTTTGAAACAATTAAACATATTTTATGTGTCATGTGATATACTAGTTGTAAATTACTTTCAGAAAAAAAAAAATAAACCATTTTAAACAATATAAAAATAACAATTATACAGTATAATTACTACAAAAGGCAGTAATTTCAAACTGCCAAATTGTTAAAAGGTCCCTAATGCTACAATGGCAACTTGAGTGAGTTCTCTGTAGAATACCAACAGTCTTGCATGGTACGGCTCATCGATTTTTTCAGAAGTCACAGTTCAGACATTAGGAACTTCATTTTTTGTAAAATACTCTCTAAAATCCCGTTAATTGGTATATTGATTTATAGGGCGTGGCAGCTTATCACAACCCTGAACTTTATACTCTCTAAAAGCCCCTGAAAATAAATATAATAAAAGGGGAGTGAAAAGCATAAAATAATGTTCTAATAAATGATCCATTACATTAATAGTTCAATGCAAAGTGGTCACTCTTATAGATGGCTGCAGCTCCTCTGATTCAGAGTATTCGATAAATACTTTGTGCTCATGGACTGAAAGAGAATAATTGGACGGGGGGGCGCCACCAACCAAGTGTAAATGTTTAGTAAGATGAAAAGATAAAAACCAATAAACTTGGTAAAAATCACCGTTAGACATGTCAACAATGCTGTGGGCATCTTCAGTTTGTCAGGGAATCTGCCAGTATTGGCACAGTACCGTTGCAAGTTGCTGTGTGGAATTGCAGAGTTCGCCAGGGAAGTGTTGCCAGGCAATGCATATGATTCAGGAAGCTGCTGGATGTGTGAACTCTAGTGAAACCAGTATGGAATGCATCACCAAGCTGAAACCAGAAGTTAGATAACATCAGGTGTCTAGGCATCAAAGTGGAATGATGTTACCTGTCAGGGCGTGGCTGCGAGTTTCAGAGCTTTGAAACACCCCTTTCTCAGCCTCTTGTTTTTTGCAGCTCAGGTAGATCCATGATAAGAGATTTTACTAGGTCACGGTATCTATCTGGTTTCTTTTCTCGTTGAATAACTAGGCAGATCCATTTTGTAGTATAAAATTTGGCCAACTCCTTCCAGTTTTTTGCAAGGTCAGGTTCTAAAAAAATCACAAAATTTTAAAAATATGTCAGCCTTTTGGGGTAATTTTATGAGGAAGACTATATTCCATCATTGGGAGATCTCAGCTTTCACCTTATCCTCTAGTTGGCAAAATATTTTGCTTAAAAGCTGGGTTTTAGATAAAGATAAAGTGTTGGAAGGATTAGGTGTACCTTTGGGAAAAGGGCAAAGACGTAATTCAAACTGTTCCTTTTAGTTGTATCTATAGCTTTACAAATATACATGTTGTACTAATATACTACGCAAAAGCAGGCAACATTACCAGAAACTGGGACATTCACAGGAACTCAGCAGCACATATGATATCCAAAGAGAAACCATACAAAAATAAATATAATAATTGTATAGCGCAAGGCTGAGTTAAATGGAAATAATATTCCAATAAATAGTCCACTATATGAATAGTCCAATGTAAAGTAGTCACTCTTATAGATGGCTGCAGCTCCTCTGGTTCAGAGTATTGGATGAATCCTCTGTGCTCATGTACTGAAAGAGAATAATCAGACAGGGGGGCACCACCATCTAAGTGTAGA